GAGTTAATTTTTATATATGGTGTGAAGTAAGGGTCAACTTCATTCTTTTGCATGTGGAGATCCAGTTGTCCAGCAACATTTGTTGGAAACTAGTCCTTCCCCCTGAACGGTCTAGAAATTCTTGTCAAAAATCAGTTGATCATAAATGTAGAGGTTGGTTTCTGGACTCTCAATTCTATTCCATTGATTTATGTGTCTGTGTTTAATGCTAGTACCACACTGTTTTGATTGCTGTAGCTTTGTAGTAAGTTTTGAAATCAGGAAGGGTGAGTCGTCCAACTTTGTTCTTTTTTTTCCCCCTCAAGATCATTTTGGCTCTTCAGACTCAGAGTTGAAGTGTTCTATCCTAAGGAAGCTGTAGGGGGTTTGGATAAGGTCCAAGGAAGACTAATTAAAATAATCATGCGTTGTAATAGGCTATTCTTATCAGTTTGGCTTCTCTGATGGATGCTGTCATCTGGAAGGAGGAGGGCTGAAAAGCAGTTTATGATCAAATTGTAAAGTCGTGAAGAAGAACGGCTACACGAGCTGGTTTGGGCACCTCATCATGGATACTATAAAGTTAGAAGGTTGCCCAGTGAGGTTTGGAAGAGGCAAGTTTAGTATACCTGAACAGGACAGGCCCCATTCTGGTATGAAATCGGTGAAGCTTATTATCCTCAAGGAGCGATTAATATAAGCTAAAAGTCATAAATACTGGAGCTTTAATATGTTTTAGAACATTTGTGGATCTTTATCTGCCAGGACAAATGTGGATGCTTTGCGGCTTGCTTCTTACCTTTTGAGGTTGGTCCCACCACCCTGTGCTCTCCCACACCCTGTCCCCTGGAGATGTGGTCTGGGGTGGAATAGTGGGCTGAGTGGCCGTGAGTCTCTGCCCGTATGGTGGCTCTTGGGAATTCCCATGAGCCACACCCTTGCTGAGTGTCCTCCCAGTGGCTCAGAGAGAGGACCCCACCCCAGCGCCCTGCCTACCGTGGGGTTGTCTCTGCCGAGACCCAGCTGTGTTAGTGCTTCCGTAACGTGCAACTAGACAGAGGCTGCCCGAGTTGGGACTTGTTGGTCTTCCTCAAAACACAGCCTCTCTCATGAATCAAGTTTGCATCTACATCCTACCACATACCACCTTCTAATTGTATTTTGGAGCCACACTCAAATCCTGCATAGGTGGTTTTGTTTTTAGTTCCGGTTTGACTGACTTTTAATAACAAAAAGCTGTGCTAGTGAGAATTTCATTCTGACCATTTTTGGGGGGGAGGGGCTGAGGGAGAGGAAGAGAGAGAATCCTAAGTAGGCTCCACACCCCCAGCACGGAGCCTGATGTGGCACTCGATCCTACAACCCCTAGATCTTGACCTGAGCCGAAATCAAGAGTCGGACACTTAACTAAGCCACCCAGGTGCCCCCTGGTTCTGACCACTTTTTAACTTGGTTGTGTCTCAAGTGATTTTGTTATTCCTCTGTGATTGGTTTTCCAAATTGTGTTATTTCTACTACATAACTCCTTGGTTGTGGAATCCAGAGAGTTTTAGGTATATATTGTTTATATGCGTGTGTGTAGACTGATTTAACCTGATGAGTCACTATGAAGTAGATTATAAAGGGCTATTAGCATTCATTAGTCCAGATTTAGCTTTTCAAAGAAATCGCGATTAGGTTTATGATTTAGTGTACTAGTACATTTACAGTAAATTCAGATGTTTTTATAATTTTATTACTTATTTTGAAAAATGAATATTAACGGAAGACCAGCACTAATGTCTGTCTTTAAAGTTCAGGAAAAAATATATAAAATTTAAAGCAGAACTTCCCAGTGTTGGATGAGTGATCCAAACAATGTGAATTTAAAAACAAACTGGATTCAAATTTCAGCTGGAGGACTTTAGAGGTCATCTAGTTCATTGCCTTCTTTCTGATGAATCATGAGGAAAATGAGGCTCAGAGAGGTTAAGTGACTTGCCCAATGCCACACGGCTAGTTACTGGCAGAGCTGAGACTACAATAGCAGTTTCTTACGTAACTTGCTACTTCCTAATTAGTGGTTAAAGAGACGTTTTGTGGGTGCATGCCCGTGTGTGTGTGTGTGTGTGTGTCTGTTTGAGTCTTACATTTAGAGAAGAGATTAAAGTTTATTGAGCACCTATTTGCCGAGCACTTTTAAAATGCATGATTTCATACGGTTCTTACATAGTCCTGTAAAGTGATTATTAACAGTCCCACTTTACAGATTAGGAAACCAGGGTGCAGGAGGTTACTAACTTGCGCAAGGCCATGTGATTGGTGTTAGAGCTGCTACTTGAGCCTTGGGTCTTTCTGATCTGTTCCTGCCACCATGACCCTGCTGTGGCTCTGGCAATAAGTAACTGAAGCCTTTTCAGGGGTGTGGGCAGTAGTGATGGTTATCTTTTTCAGACTTCTTCCTCACTCTGTAAACTGTATGGGTGTACACCGATGTGTGCAGAGCAAGTCCTTCTCCGAATACTCACAGCGCTTAGCGGATGTGTGGCTAATCTTCCTACCATCTCTGTAAGATAAATGGTATTTTCTGGTTAGGCGGCTGAGGCCCAGATGGATTCAGGGACTTGCCTAACCCCTTATCACAAACACGCACGGCCCTGCTCCCAGTTCCGTTCTTCACCCCGTCTCACATAGATTTCACCACTTTTGTTCTTTCCTGTCTTACACCAAGATTGTTGAAGTACTTCCCAAAAATAATGAGCCACGTGTGGGTGTGTTCTCCAGAATGAATCACTGTGAAAGAGGCCATGAACCAACGAAGGGAGAGAAGAAGTATCTGGAATCAGAGGCTCTTGGCTCTCCTGTCTGCTAATTGACAGACTCTGAAGTGAGCTTTCTTTTTCAAAAGGCGGCTGCGGGTCTGGCCTGTGTGTCCCACTGTGCTCAGAATAGCCCTCTTAGAGTTACTCGTTTTCCCTTCTTGCTTCCCAAAATAGCCCCAATGCTGTTCTCTTTGCTGGATGTCATGGCACATGTATTGAGAGGTGTGCGCTCCACGGGGAACCCCTTTGTGCCTGAATGTCCTCCCTGACGCAAAGGGGGGGGGCATTAGCTTCCTTGGATTACCGGTCAGGACTGCAGCGTGAGTAAAAGGTTTGGCTCGAGTATTCAGAGAGTTGCAGAAGTAAATTTGAGTTAGCAAGAAGAATAAGAGAGGGAGCAAAAAGAGGTATTTGGGGGGAAATGAGGAGGTTTCTTCACCTTTCTTGTGTCTAAAAAGGGCTGGAATCGAAGTTTAGGAAGAACTGACTTTTAAAATTGCTTTTATGATGTGGATTCTAGTCTAAAGGGTACCTGCTTTAAACTTCCTGCCCTTAAAATAGAACACTACCCTCAGCAGGTAGCTGCGTGTTTTGGAATTTCTCCCAGAAGAAAGGGCTCTCTCTGATCAAAGGCCTTACGGTGAAGCTCCACAGTGGCGTTTACCTGTCCGTGTGCGCTCTCCTTTGTTTCCGTGGGTGGGAATGGCGACGGAGTGCGTCATTTATAGAAAGCCTGAGGAAGGGGGCTTGGGCACCGGAGATATTTAGAATCTGCCTTTGGAACTGAAAAGCCGAGAGATGCCTTCCAGGGTATTGCAGGGAGAGACAAAGATAGACTGTTTACAGCCTGAAGGGGTGAGTTTCAACAGGCTAGTTTTTCATGGGATTGGTCATAAACGTCTCTTCTCTGGGGGCCTTGGTTTGAATGTATTCCCACTTGGTATCCAGATAGTATTCACTGAGTGGCCAGTATGGGACTTGGGTGGGCTGCCCTCTCCATTCCCCGACGGGCAAATGCTTCATTCAGCAGCGAGTCCCAACCCAAGTGTCCTCGTGGCCACAGCCATACTCCTGCCCGTTCTGAGAGGTCAGGGCTGGGTTAGGCTCATGGGAGACAGTGTTGGGGAGAACCGACTGCTGCTGTCTGTGCTATTCTTGTTAGATGGATAAATAAAGGATTTCAGATTCCAGGGCTGCTGAACTGGCTTTCAGAGGCACCAAATTCATTTACAGTAATTTCCTGTCAACAGTGCACACTTATGTATAATACACACCCAGCAGAACTCATTAGACCCAGACATGATTACACACACTGCCTATTTGGGGGGAAAAGAAAAAAGCGTGCCTATGTGTGTATATATGTATAAAACATATTTATATGTTTGTATATTTTTATATGTGTATATATTATGTGTATATAATATTTTCAAAGTGATATCCAGGGACCTTCCAGAGTAGATTAAATTTATTGAACACTTTTTATGCATCAGCTCATTTGATCCTCACAGTAACTTTATGATGTAAACATTAATGTTATCCTCGTTGGAGGTTATTCTTTTTGCGCCTCATGAGAGGTGCACCTGCCATGGACTTAAAGGGAGGAGGAGGGTGTTGGACTAGCGGGCGGGAAGCTTTTCAAAGGAAGTGATGGTCAGGCTGAATTTTAAAGGATTTGTGAGAAGTAGCCAGGAAAAAAAGCATTGCAGCAAAAGAATGTGTGAGAGCATGCATACTGCATTCAGCAAACTGTGGCATGCCTAGTGCCCGAGAACGGAGATGGGATTGAGGAGCCATCGTCGAGTGAGGAAGCCTGGGCAGTTTTGGAGGGAGGATGTAGGGGTGGGGCAGGAGGTGGTGTCCTGTATCCTCCAAGGGGCAGGTGTCTTCCTCTACATTTAAAGGAAAACTTCATTCCCAGCCACAAAATAATGTGTAATGAGTCTAAGGCAAAGTTCGAAAGGTGGTTTCTCTGTTTCTCATGGGCATTAGATAGGGCCACTTAGAAGAAAATGGTGGAGCTTGGAAGCCTGGTTTCCGAGCTGAATTGAACAGGCGAAAAGCTGGTGCTCCCATTGACGGTGCCATCTTTCTGGCCCTATCTCTATAAAAGCTCCTTATTTGGGAACATCAAGTGTGCTAAAGGATTATATTCTAAGTCTGGAAAAGGACCTAGGAGAAGATCTCACCGTTAATGTCAGCGTACTCCCAAATTTCCTGCAGCTCTGCAGTGTGCGTGTACTAGCTGCCTCCAGGCCAACTACACGTGTGAGACAGATGGGGCCTGCATGGTTTCCATTTTCAACCTGGATGGGATGGAGCACCACGTGCGCACCTGCATCCCCAAAGTGGAGCTGGTCCCCGCCGGGAAGCCCTTCTACTGTCTGAGCTCCGAGGATCTCCGCAACACCCACTGCTGCTATACTGACTTCTGCAACAAGATCGACCTGAGGGTGCCCAGTGGTGAGTGGACACCCTTGTTGGACTATTGGCTCATCCTGGAGGTAGGGCACCCCCGTCATCTCATCCTTCTCTACTCCTGCCCAATCCCTTTGTTTGGTGATATGTAGAAGTACCTTTTTGATGTTCCCCAAGGTGACAAGGGGATAGGATTCCTCCCCGCTCAGGTTTGTAGACGAGAGGTCAGAGGAGACCGATGGTCAAGGTAGTCCCAGGGTTGAGAAGTGTGTTCTGGCCACTGGCGGAGCCGCCGTGGGCAGCTGGTAAGGACTGGGAGAGCCAGGCAGGTATCCCCGTGGGAAGGAATGGAGACAGCCGCTGAGCTGTGTGAAGGCAGCTGCTGGGTGAGGGTGATGGCAAGGCGGGACGAGAGGCCGGAGTCGAAAAAGAAGGACAGCAGTGCAGGCTGAGAGGGTCAGCTGGCACCTCTTTTGCAAGCGTACCATTCAGAAGGCAGCACGGGGGAGAGCAGAAGAGGAGGGACTTAAAGCTGCCGGGGCTTAAAGCAGCTGTTCCGAGTGGAAGAGCAGAAGTTGGCCTGGGGCACTGAGGTGGGAGAGTCCCAGGAAATGCTGCGGATGACAGAGTGGCTTGTGAGTTGGACTGTTGAAAAGGGCTCCTCCGTTGGCGAGGTTTGCATCCAAGAGCACTGGGCAGACACACGGCCTGGTAAGACCAGGGAGGTCAAGGGCACCTTGAACACAGGCAGAGGCAAAGGGCATTCTCACATGGAGGGAGGTGTTGGGGACAGATAAGGCCAGAGCTTTCCCGTGTTTTTACTGTGTTCTTTCCCTCTCCTCTCTCACTTGACCCAGGTCATCTCAAGGAGTCTGAGCACCCTTCCATGTGGGGCCCCGTGGAGCTGGTAGGCATTATTGCTGGCCCAGTGTTCCTCCTGTTTCTCATCATCATCATTGTTTTCCTTGTCATTAACTATCATCAGCGTGTCTATCACAACCGCCAGAGACTGGACATGGAAGATCCCTCATGTGAGATGTGTCTCTCCAAAGACAAGACGCTCCAGGATCTTGTCTACGATCTCTCCACATCGGGGTCTGGCTCAGGTATCGAGTCCTTTAGCGACTGTGTCTGTTGGTCTTCGTCACCAGCTCCCAGCAGGATAGAACGTTTGTGAAGGAGGCTGGGCCTTGCACTTGTTTCTGCCAGCATTGAGGCGTTTGGCTTCCTAATTCCCCTTCTTTTGGAGTCTGATGTGTAATAAGATAATGGGTCCACAGAAAATCTTTCATTCCCTGGGATTCCAAAGGCCAAGTACAAAACTCTCCATTCCAGAAACCCCGCCTCTCCAAGCCTTGCAACTATACATGTATTAAAATTCACCTGGTTCCACCTGAGCAGTGGAGTGCTCAATGGAAGGTCCCCTTTGGAGAAACGGGAGTGTGCCAGGTTTCTGTGAGGTGGGGACAGCTAATCATTGATCTCCGAGCAACCACAAGGGGAGTTTAAGGACACTGAGGAAAGCTGAGAGCCGGGGTTTGGTGAATCATTGACTTGTACCAGTTACCCAAGGGTTTTCTGGTGCGGGTTACATAAAGGCAGCCTGGGCTTGTGGCATGGGATCAGTACCATTCGTTTCCTGCACTGCCTGTTGGTAACCGACTCTTTCTTAGACGAGGGAATTGAACCGAACCCTGGCCCTTCGTGTGAGCCCGGAATTCAGGATAAAGGGACTGGGGCTGCTCAGGTCTCAGGGCATAGCTCAGCTAGCTATTAGATGTGAAACGACTGCAAAAGAGTCTTCGTATGAAGATTAGCCATTATTTTAGTGATGGTGATAGTCTGTCCTTGTTAAAAAGAGGTAATAATCTGCAAAGGTCTCTATTGCCGTTCTAGCTAAAACATACAGAATCATATTGTGAGAATTTTGTGCGTGTTTATGTATGTTTCCTTGCCATGTGACAAAGACTATTGTTCTGTAGGGAAATTATGCCATCAGTCATGGCCAGACATTCCTCCTTGAACACAAGGAATACTTTGAGCTGTGACATCTCCTGAATTTCAGTGGTTTTGCCTTTATTAAGCTCTGCAGTAGAGAGTGCCAAAATGATGGATATATTTAAAAGCTGCATATTTTTAGGAAGAGAGAAAATATATGTCTTGTTCTTTGCTGAAAGAGGTAGGGCAGTGGTTAGAACTGCCTGACTGACTCTGCGACTTGATTTGCTGTCACAGGAGGGTAGCTCAGGTCTTCTGGAGTCCCTTTTTAAGATCAGAACTAGCTGAGGCTAGCAAAGGTCCATGGTGGTTACTTAGTCATCTGGAGTAAAATGACTAATAACTGTTTCTCCTTGGGGGTTCTAGTCCCTTCTTACTCCCAAATATGCAGAGCTTTGAAGGTGTTGGAGTTTTAATACTGTGGTTTTTAAAGTGATAAGTGCTTATGTGACTTTCAAGTCCCTTCAACAGGTACATGTTGAATACCCTCTGGGTGACACAAGGTAAACAAAGATGCAAACGGCTGACCCAGGATTGGATAGAAAACATGGGGATTGCTGGGAAAGGGTCTCATGGGGGAGGATGCTTTTAAAGGGGTCCTGAAGACAGAGTTGGAGGTTTTAAGAGAGGTAAGAGGACAGGGAACATTCCAGGCCAAGGAAAACCCCTTGAGCAAAAGCACAAAAAGGCATGAAAGTTCACCATGTGTTTAGGGGACGATCTAGAGGCTGGCATGCCCTGCCCACACTGGGGGGTGGGGACTGGCAGCACAGCTCAGGTGGGCAGGACCTTGGGCGCTGTGCTTTATCCAGTAAGGCGAGAGGCGTCTACCGGAAGTTTTCATGTGGCAAAGTAAACGTTCATATTTTCCCGTGGAAGGCATTCTGGCAGTGGGGTGGAGGTTGAATTCACTCATTCACCAACCTCCTGTTAGCGAGGGCAGGGTGAGGCACGGCTGTGTGTGGGTGTGCAGGGCAGGAACAGGGCGACGAGGGAGGTGGAAAGACCAGTTGGGAGTCTTTTAAAGACGGTCCAGAACCTGGATGGGCACAGGGGGCATGGAGAGGAGGGGTCCGATGTGAGAGACATTTTGGGGGTCCTGTCGTGTTGTAGTTAAAAGCATAAACTTTGGGAGTCAGACAGGTCTAGACTTTAATCACCTCTTTGCCACTTGCTGCCTGTAGGAGTTCAAATGAGTTACTTAACTTTCCCTTTGAGCCTTAGTTTTCTTGTCTGTAAAATGGGGATAATAACACCATCTACCTTATAGGTGGTTGTGAGGAAATGAGATAATTTAAAGCTTTATCATAGTTTCTAGTGCGTAGTAAGCCTCCAGTAAATGGTATTCACATCCACAGCACTTAGGGATTAATAACATGTGTATTTGGTCTGGGAGAGGAAGTGAGAGAGCTCCAAGTCAGTCTGATGGTAAGTGTGATTGGGTAGATAGGGGGACTCCTGAAGGGGGCAAATGAAGCAGTAAATGAGCCCTGTGAAGACAGTAAAGTCACTCTTAGGATAAGCGTGGGAAGTCTCTCGTTGCGTATCAGGAGCTTGACCTGAGCAGAGCTTTGGAGAGTGGTGGGAACCTTGTGTGCCGACCACAGTTTGGCTTTCTTGGGCCGTGCAGCACCGCCCTCTAGTGGCCGCAGGGCAGAGCACCCCCAGCCCTCAAGCCCCGTCTTTCACCTTCTCTGCCCTCTTTCCTCTTCAGTCGGCATAAAGCAGATGTGGGTGGACTGGCCCACGAGAGGCCGGCTGCAGAGCTGGTGAATCTGGTCAGACGTTGTGTGCGAATCTGTCACCCGTACTAACCGAAAGGAAGAATTGCTTCGATAAGGCACAGCTGGTCTCATGCGTTTCCCTTTCTGTGTTTGCTCACTGCCAGTCACTGGCTGGCTTAGGCCTCTGCCGGCTTACCTAGCCATGTGCGGAGGCAGCCACAGCTCTCCTTGGTCAGGGGACTGGGGTGGCTTGGAGGCACTGTGTGGTAATGGCCTTTCCAGTGTGGCAATGAGAGTGGGTGTTGCAAAGTTCAGCAAATTTACAATGTGCGCTTTCTTTCCATTCTTTGGTCCACAGGGTTGCCCCTTTTTGTCCAGCGCACAGTGGCCCGAACCATCGTTTTGCAGGAGATTATTGGCAAGGGCCGGTTTGGGGAAGTGTGGCGTGGCCGCTGGAGGGGTGGGGACGTGGCTGTGAAGATTTTCTCTTCTCGTGAAGAACGTTCTTGGTTCCGGGAAGCAGAGATATACCAGACAGTCATGCTGCGCCACGAGAACATCCTTGGATTTATTGCTGCTGACAATAAAGGTAACGAGCTGGGTTTGGATATAGGGGCTCCCAAAGCCAACAGTAGCCCCAGATGGATGGGGTGACTGGGGAAGTTGAACAGCTCTGGGACCGCCTTCATAGTTATTACCCATAGAAGGAGAATCTGCATAAGCTGATAGTCTTTCCAACTTCTCTTCTATGAAAAGCTTATACCGAAACCCGGCTATTAAGCAGATAAACAAGATAAACCCCTCATCCTACCTGCTCACTTCCCATTTGTAACACCCCTTCCCGTCTACCCTAGTGTAGTCCCCGCCCGGGCTTCACTTAGTTTACCTTGCAAATCACTGGAATGAAGAATTGTGCCCTCACCTCCTGCCAGGGCAGGGTAGCTCAGAGAAGTATGTGGTCCACGCTGTGTGACATAATCCGCATCATACACACGTGTAGTAGTTCCCCCAAGTGTTACCTCCTCATGATCGTTCAGGCTCAGCTTTTGGTCTGCTTGGACCTGAGGTCCCTTGGTTCCTTCTTCCTCTCCCTTCTGATTTTTCTTTAGTTTCTGAGTCTCTTGGGTGGCCAGGCACGTCCTTGTTTTCGAGGGCTTCACTGAGCGGCAAAGCGAGAAGTAAATGAATAGTTAATTCCAGGAAGTAATCAAACCGCAGGCTCTTCTAGTTTGCACAGATTGGGGGTGAGGTGGGGGTCGGGGAGGTCACACCTGAGCGTGATTGAGGCTGGGGTGTCAGGAGTCGGTGAGGAAGAAGACTCGGTGGGAAGGGCACTGCAGACACACACGTAGAGGTGAGGGGTGCCTGGGACCCTGCAGCTCACAGGCACGGCTCCGTGGGGGGAGAGGCAGCCGATGCCAGACCACAGAGGGCCTCCTCAAGAGCGTTACCTTTTATTCTGAGGTAGTGGGTGGTGCTTGGACTTGCACTCATTCATGCACTCACATCCGTTGACCACTGTGGGGCAAGACCTCTGCCCGCTGCGCCGATGGTCACACAGGGGCCCCGCGGTCCTTGCCCCCGGAGCTCCCGGAAAGTGGAGGCAGCAGGTGCGTGGGCAGGTAGCGGAGAGTCTGGGAGTCGGAAGGACTGTGCGGCCTTCGCGTGCGCACTGGAGAAGAGTCGCCCTGGCAACTGGGACAGAGGCTGCTCCCAGGACATGGCAGTTTCTAGAAGTTCGTGTCTCCGAAGCCTGTGGAAGATGCTAAGTGTTTATTTTTCCTTCCTAAGACAGCAGCAGACTGCCGATTCCTCATATTACTGCGGGGGTTTGTCGTGGCCTCAACTGCCCCCAAGCTGAAGAGGCTCGGACTCAAACACAAGGGAGGAAGGGGAAGAGAGAGTGTTTACCCCCTTTGAGTAAATTGTGCTTTTTTTTTAAAACAGCAGCATCTTTTGAGAACACTTCAATTTTACATACAGTTTAAAGGCTCAGAAGATGTCTTCCCTTTTAACTTGGCCTTACTGCCAGGGTCCTCACGACTTCAGGGCTGGTTGGAGCGCAAGAGTGCTATGCTGGGTGGGCCCCTTGTTCGTAATCAGGGAAGCTGGAATTGGTGCCGTTCCAAGAGCCACTCCCTTTATTGATTCTGGCAGCTCGGGTGAAAAGGGATCTGGCTGTAAAAACTCACATTAGGGCCAAGGGAGGAGAAAAATCAGACTCCTTCGTTTTTGCCTTTTTAGCATGATATATATATATAGTATAGTGTCCCGGAACTAATACCGGCCTAGAATTTGGAGTTCTCAATCCAATTTCCAGTCTTCCCATTGACAGCAGCATAACCTAATTAGATTACCAGCTTTGGGTCTTTCTTTTTTTCCTTCCTCCTTCCTACTACATGCTGCCTCTCATCCCCCACCCTGTATAAAAGTGAGTGCTGTCCACCTTCCATTGCTCTTCCGAGGATAAGATGACCTCTCTGGAATACTTGGAATTGTGCTCTTCGTGCACTGAAAAGCATTTTTTTGGTCTAGAATACAGGAACGCACAAAGGAGCTCTTTGCTCTTCTCCCAGAGAGCGAGCTCATGGCCTGGTAGGAGCCGTGGACTGAAAGGAAACATAACGGATGAGCCAGCTGCTGGGGCTAGGCTGTGCTCACAGGATCTTGGAGCACAGAGGAGGGTCTGCGAAGCCTTCCTCCTTGGCAGCGGTGGGTGCAGTCAGTCTTGCTTTAATGAGTAGATGAGTAGGTCTTGTTCAGACTCCGACAGCCACCTGCAAGAAATAAGGGAACACGTCTAAGGAAGAATGTTGTTCTTCTGTCCTTCTTGGACCCCCACACTGGTGACCAAGTGTAGATGAAACAGGTGTAGAGGGGGAGCCTCAGGAGGTATGGCGGCAAGAAGCGTGAATTCAGGTGTCTAGTCGGAGTTCGTGTTGTTCACCTATTCTTTCCTGCCTTAACCTTTTTGCTGGTAGTTGTGCCTCTTCCAGAACTCCTTTGTGGTTCTCTGCAGATAATGGCACCTGGACACAGCTGTGGCTCGTCTCAGACTACCATGAGCATGGCTCCCTGTTTGATTATCTTAACCGATACACGGTGACAATCGAGGGGATGATTAAGCTGGCCTTGTCTGCGGCTAGCGGGCTAGCACACCTGCACATGGAGATTGTAGGTACCCAAGGTGAGTGGACCCCGCCGAGGGGCAGGGAAGATGAGTAGCCTTTGAAAGCCGGTACCATCCTCATTTAGTTCCCAGAACTCCTTTTTACTGAGGAAGTTGGAGGTGGGCCTCAGGAACTGTGGCCTAATCTAAGGGAGAGAGGTTTGAGTTTTTCTTGAGAACAGAAGGTGTCTCCAGTGGGGTCTTTTGACCTCCATCTTTAGAATTCCTTCAGGGGCTCTGGAACATAAAGATTCCATTGTTTGTCCTCTGTCGGCCCAGCATGATTGTTGGGTGGTGAGCTAGTATTCTGTCATCCCAGAAGTCCACCACACACACGTAAAAGAATGGCGCCCAGGAGAGAAAAGGAGCACAATTTGCTAATGTCACGTCACACATTTGCTCTTGGCAACAGGTGGCTTACGGACTTCGTGCTGCATTAGACACTGGGCTTTACTAGCCTAGGAAGGTTCTCCTGGAGGAAAAAGACCTCAGGCTTCCTTGTATGTTGACTGTGACATCAGCTCTTTGGGGGATCATGGTTCTCATCCAGGCGGCGGCAGGTGTGCTATGCTCCCTGATTTCTGGTTGACCAGGGCACCGGCTCTTGCTGGCCTTGATGGAAAACCGTTAACGTTTGATCCTGTTCCTAACCCCTGTGTGATAGTAGCAGGCCTTATCTTCGCCTCTTTGTCAGTAAAAACCTAGCCAGTATAGCAGTTTTTCTTGGAATTCCTTAGCAGTTCTGTCCTGGAGTATATCAGTCCAGGGAAAGGCAAGGAGGAGGAGTGAGAATCCCTAATACGCATGCCCTTCTCAGCTCTTCACTTACCTACATTAATGCGTTTAATCCTCACATCGCCATCAAGTAAGGACTGGGGTAGCCGCATCTTACGGATGAGAAGACAGAGGTGCAGACGGGTTAAGTCGCTTTTTTAGGGTTACCGGGTTAGTGGGAGGCAAAGCCAGAACTCGGACCCACACAGTCTGGCTGCAGAGTCTGTGCTTTTAACATTTATGCTATCTCTCTGTAAAGATCCTTATTTTTTTCTCTGCCAGGGAAGCCTGGAATTGCTCATCGAGACTTAAAATCAAAGAACATCCTGGTGAAAAAAAATGGCATGTGCGCCATTGCAGACCTGGGCCTGGCTGTCCGCCATGATGCGGTCACGGACACCATCGACATCGCCCCAAATCAGAGGGTGGGGACCAAGCGGTAGGAAGGCCCTGGGCCTCTGCCTTTGCCCTACCCTTGTACTGAGGAGCGCATGGGCACCCTTTCCCGTCTCTAAAGGAGAAAGAGGCGTGGAGGAGGAGGTGTGGCCCTTGCTCTCCGACAGCCGAAAGCTGAATTGAAGCCCTGCTCCACACACTGGAAAGCTGAGCTGGTTGCATCTAACAGATATGGGTGCTGTCAGCACGGCTCTAGAGAACTACAGACATGTAGATCTTCTTAGTGTTGGGCAGGGGCAGGCAGCAGAGAAAGAGAATCTGGAGAAAGATTCAGAAGGGGGACAGGCTGCAGGCTTGGCTGGGACAAAGAGGAAGAATGTGCAGTCCCAACAGGTACTTGTTCGGAGGCGGGGAGTGTGTCAGAGAGCAGGTTTGCCAAGCTCGAGCGGAGGTGATCTAGGGTGGAGATTGGGGGCACATTTAAGATTATGGGCCTACTTCCTGCTTCATACAGAAGTGAAGTAAGAAGTAAGGAATTATGATTGTAGATTGACTTCATGAGTTGGAAATGGAAATGTCTTGTAATGGGACAGAAGAGGAGGTTTACTTATCTGCCAGATTTCGGTGAATTTCATTCAAGTGTGCTGCTGCTTTCCCCCTTCCTTCTGACCTGAATGGGTGCAGCTCCCCTCTGGGGGTGTTGGGAGGGTGTGGGGAGTGGCTCGAATAGTACTAATTAACTGAGGGGCACCTTGATGATCACCTAGAATTAATTTTCATTTTTATTTGTAATTAGGTAAGATAAGAAATTCAGAGTGAAATATAAATTCAGCTCATCACTGTGGCTACATTTAATAAAGCTCAAGACCCCAGCAGCAACCAGATATTATGGATGGCCCTGTGATCCACAGTACAAATACTTCTGCCAAGAAATCAAAACATGCTTAAAATACATCTCGATGGTTAAAAAAATAGAAGTACAAATAAGAGCAGCCTAGGATCACCCAGCCTCTGCTGAAGTGTTTAGATTCAAATCCAAAACATGGGAGTTTGCAATAAAGAGAATTGATCACTTCCTCCTCCCCAAGGGGCACTCTTAGGGTGATGCCTTTCCACATTTAGAGGGCCCCTGAATCACTACTTGGATTTAAACAAAGAAATCACCCTTTTCTTGGGATGATCTTGTTTCCTTTGCTATTGCAGATACATGGCCCCCGAAGTGCTCGACGAAACCATTAACATGAAGCACTTCGACTCCTTCAAATGTGCTGATATCTATGCCCTCGGGCTTGTATACTGGGAAATTGCTCGAAGATGCAATTCCGGAGGTACCTTTCTTTTTTGCCTTCTCTTGCTCCTACCTCCCAGTGCAGGTTTTCGGGTCACGTGAGGGTGCTCACCTGAGGGTGCTCACCCGAGGGTGCTGGTGTTTCCTTGCTTCCTTTCTCTTTACAACCTGTTGGGTGTCTAGTGCCAGAGCCCATCACACTTAGAGTTCTCATCAAAGATGAGGGAATCCTGGAGGTGGTTGTACTAAAGGAGTGTTGATTTGTTGAATAGTGCTTTTTTAAAAATTGTATTTATCTTTTTAAATTATTTTTATTTATTGGGACACCTGGGTGGCTCAGTCGTTAAGCACCTGCCTTCGGCTCAGGTCATGATCCCCAGGGTCCTGGGATTGAGCCCCGCATCGGGCTCCCTGCTCCGCGGGAAGCCTGCTTCTCCCTCTCCCACTCCCCCTGCTTGTGTTCCCTCTCTCACTGTGTCTCTCTCTGTCAGATAGATAAATAAAATCTTAAAAAAATATATTTTTATTTATTTATTTAATTTGAGAGAGAGAGAGAGTTGGGGGGGCAGAGGGAGAGGGAGAGAGAGACTCTCAAGCAGGCTCCACGCCCAGCACGGAGCCCGACTCGGGACTCAGTCCCAGGACCCCGAGATCATGACCTGAGCCGAAATCAAGAGTCGAACACTTAACCAATTGTGCCATCTAAGTGCCCCTTTGAATAGTGTTTTACGTTGTGGTAACCATTCCGGAGGCTTGTTTGGCTTGTTGTTTTAACACATTGTCCTTATTGATCCTTGGAGGTTGGGAACGCCCTGGGCAGGAATAGCACAGGACCAGTGCAGGGGCTCTCCTTTACATGAGAGGCAGTATGTTCTGACACCAGCTCTCAAGCCACAGTGCTGGGGTTTCATTGATAAAATAATGGTGGCAATTTCTGAATTTGGAACAGAAAGTTTATTAACATATAAAATTTTCTCAAAATGAGTTTTTTTGTTCTGTTATTTTTTCTTACACCTTCAGCATTTGTACCTGCTCAGCCATGTCAGAATCCAGTGAAAGGTAGTGTCAGATCTAGCAGGAAACATTTTTTATCATTAGCTTAGTGCGTCAGTATTATACAGTGATTTCTAAGTGTTCTGCCATGTGAACAAGTTCAAGAACCACTAGAACCTTTTTCTCAGCTGTTTATCTCTGATGTAAAAGATTCCAGGTCAGTGGAAATGAAATAAATTAAAATTAAATGATCTGGTAAGTCTTCCAGCAGATCCCTCTTCTGCTTTACTGCCCTTTTCCCTCTCTCATATGTTTGGGAAGATTCCCATTATGGAGCAGGCACCCAGGTATTATTCATGGAATTGCACGTCTAACGTTTTTTTAAATTTATTTTTTAAGTAAACTCTACCCCCCAATGTGGGGCTCAAACTCACGATCCTGAGATCAAGAGTCGCGTGCTCTATTGACTAAGCCAGCCAGGCACCCCTAAAATTTTGATCATTATATACCAGTAAAACATAAGAAAAATGTGGTCACACCATCCAGAAGTTGGGGCTAAGTATTCTAATAATACTAATATTTATTCGCCACTCGCTGTGTATGAACACATTTCATCTGTACTGTAAAACCTAAGAGGTGGGTACTGTTATTTTCATAATTTTGCAGATGAGAATGAGTCACAGTGAAATTAGGTAATTTGTCCAAGGTCACACCAAATTACTAGGATTCAAACACTGGCAGACTGAGGCCAGAGCATAGGTTCTCAACTACCCCTTAGATAATTACCAAGTCGGACCCTATTTACGAATCTGTCCCATTAGCTCAGAACAGTAGAATTTTTCCTGGGAAAGGGCATGGGAAGGTTACATTGGATTTTTTAAATTAGCTTTTTATTATGGAAAGTATTTCAGTTTATAGCTCTAAAAGATAAGGACTTAAAAAATATAACACTGTCACTTTAAAAAGTGAATAGTAATACCATTTAACCAGTCCGGGTTGAGATTTCCCCAGATGTCTCCAGATTTTTTTTGAACAGTTTGTTCAAATTAGGGTTCAAATAACAACTGCAGTTGATTGATACACATCTTTTTTTTTTTTTT